GGGTCAGAGGGTCTCAGGGAAAAGGGAGGTCTGAGAACGGACTCAAGGCCTGAGAAGAGCTGAGGTAGGAGATGGCGCTTCCAGCAGAGAATGGGTAGCAATAAGTCACTGTGGAATCCACAAAGGGAAGAGGTGCAGGTTCGGGTGGGTGGGTAGGGCCCGTGGCAACCAGCTGAGGGAGTTCCCAACCAAAGACTTCTATTGATAGTTTCTCAGAAAGGAGGCAGAGTCATTGCTGAGAGTGGGTGACAGGGTCAGGGTTGGAAGCTCAGCCTGAAAAAGCCCCCAGGGCGCTCCTCCAAAGGCCACCTCATCACTCAGGTACTCACTGCCAAGGTTTGCATTACTATGTTGTCACAGTCCAGAAGCTGCCCCTGAGCCCCAAGACCCAGAAGCCTGCTTTTCTGGGGTTGCACAGTAAGGGGCTCCAGCTTCCAGGGGCTCCCATGGCCTAAATCCAGGAGCCTGATGTGAAAGCCCAAGGGTTCTAGTGTAAGGAGAGGACAAGAAGTTCATCCATCGGTCTAACCAGCAAGTTCACTCCTTGCAGAAAACCTGCAGGGGAACTAGATCACAATCAGGAAGATATTCATCACATAAGCTGAATGTTTAATCACTTGGGCCTGTCTCTAGGCCAAGACTCCCTTTTCCTAGGAATGGCACCTCTGACTTTTTTTTTTTGAGGACTCGGGGCTGGCCAGTCCTCTTTGATGAGCACATTTTCCCCACTAGAAACGCTAGTGAACTCTATCAGGTTGAGGCCTATTTCCTTTGCCATTCTACCCCCGAGCACATCTGTTCCCGGTGTCATCAAGGTCCTCAGCACACTCTACAGCTCCCTTTCAAAGCACGGAATTGGGCAGGCACAGTTGGAACCAACACTTGGCATGTCCTACTAGGCGCTGATCATAAGCCCCAGAGAACAGGGGGACTGAATCGGCCTTGCTGAACGCCATAGCAGAGCAGAATGCAAACTTTTCCCGTAAAGCCAATTAGCAAGTATTTTAGAGTTGCAACTTGTCAAGGCTGCTGTTACAGAGCCAGAGTGGCCATAGATCACATGGAAATGAGTGAGTGTGGCTGTGTTCCAACACTGCTTGATTTTTCACAACCGGGTAGGGATGGTCAGATGGCAGGTTCTATAATAGTTTGCCCTGCCCACCTCCCCAACTCCTCTCCTCCCCTTCTCTTCCCATCTCGACATGCCAGCACCTAGCACAGCCAAGCACATAGTAAGTGCTCAATAAATATTTCTATAGAACTGGCTGTCTGAGCACTTTCTCCTGAAGCCCTTCATGAGCCTCTGTTCATGCAAAATGTCTTTCCATATTGAAATACCCACTAGACTCAGCAGACTGAAGTGACCTACAGAGAGAGGGTGTGATGTTTCAGTACTCTCCATGGGTTTATATACCCTTGTGAATGGAGCAACCCACAACTAAAGCCCTCTGTGCATTATTGGAGTTTTCCCCCTCTTTATACATTTCCTTTTTTTTTTCCCCAAATTTTCTACAGTTACTACATTTAGAAACAACCAAAATCAAAGAGTTAATAAAATAACCAGAGCATGGGAAACAGCAGTTAGCATAATGGCTATGTTGCTGGACTCCCACATAGTTGTCCGCGGTTCGCGTCCCAGACCCGGTGGCTTAAAACTCAACGCCGGGCGCGTGTGCGTGCATGCCCAAGATCCCGAGAATGGAGGAGAAGGGATTGTGATGTGACCATCCCCTCTGGGGGGTGATTTCTCGCTTTCTGTCTCTATGTCTCTCTCTGTCTGTCTGGCAAGCGCATGCGCCCTATAGCAAAAACCTCTCCAAAAATAAAAAATAAATAAATAAAAATAAATAAAATAACGAGAGCAATCAGTCAGGCTTAGCGTTTACTTTTCTGTTCTGGGTGGAAATGTCCTTCTGGTTAAGAACGTGAAACTCTTCTTATGAGGAAGGGCAGAGATCAGAAAAGTTCAGTCCGGACTGCACAAATGCAGCTATTTGACTTCTGACTTCTACGAAGAGATCATTATCCTATTCGTGGTACCAAATAATTAAGACTATTTACAAATCTTTCATGTGGACTCCTGATTTGCTGAGAACATTCTCAAACACCCAGGCCTCTGTGGAGGGTGCAGTCGGGTTCCTGGGTTTACACATACCAGTCTTTGCTTTCAGAAAATTGGGTCCAGAACTGTCCAGCCCATCTAAGAACAGTATAGAGAGGAGAAAATGTGACTGTCTCCTAAAAAGCAATTTTTCAAAAATGGACCCCAAAGGGAACCAGCAGTTAGCGTAATGGCGATGTCGCTGGACTCCCATGTAGTCGACCGTGGTTCGCGTCCCGGACCCGGTGGCTTAAAACTCACAGCGGGCGCATGTGCATGGGTGCCCAATATCCTGAGAGTAGAATGGAGGAAAAGGGATTGCGGCGTGACCATCCCCCCTGGGGGGTGATTTCTCACTTTCTGTCTCTATGTCTCTCTCTGTCTGTCTGGCGAGCGCACGCGCCCTATAGTGAAAACCTCTCCAAAAAAAAAAAAAAAGAAATTAAAAAAAAAATGGACTCCAAAGAGTCCGAAAGAATGCAATTTCATCAAGACCAAAATGCTGATACTGGCTTAGGCATTTCGTGTTTGTCGGCTATCCAGTAAGTTGTCTGAAAACCATCAGACTCGAGGTTCTCGACCCTGGCCAAGGCAGGAGACAGAATTACCACACAGCGTTTTTCAAATGTGGAGACCCGAGGGCCTTACTCACACTTGGGGGTATGAAGCTGGAAGGTCAGGATGTGGGGCACCTCCTAGGAGGTGCCCAGGAACCATTTACTGGACGGAGCTGGCAATATGGCTCCTTCATATAGGAACTAAGGTCTAGGATTTTAAGAAAACCTGCTTTACCCTTTTACACTGTTCGAATCGCTGCCGTGTGTTCTTAGTTGTTTTTATTTGCTTTAGGGCATGTGCACCTACTGGAGAGAGACAGAAAGAGAGAAAGTGAGAAATCATTCCCCAGGGGGGATGGCCACGCTGTAATCCCTTTTCTTCCACTATCCTCTCGAGATTTTGGAGCCATACACACATGTGCCAGGCGTGTCTCTCAAGGCGCCGGGTCTGGGACTCAGACTATCCAGTCAGCCTTGTGGGATCCAGTCTCCTTCGCCACCACACCACCAGCTGGTCCATTACGTTTATTTTAAAAGGTTCACTCAAAAAATATTGTCAAGAAAATCGAACTCCTATTAAATCTAAATAATAATTACACTATTGTATGGAGATATATACATATATATATATATATACACATACATAAATGGATGACAAAAGCTTGTTCTGCAAGATAAACAGATAATATGCTTGTTGTTTTAGTAAGACTATATTTTAAGTGATTAACTTGAAAATTATCATTACAAACATTTAGCACCTACTAAGTGCCAGGCAATATTCTAAGTATTTCATATAAATGAACTCAATCGTCTTAATACCTCTATCTGAGGGAGGAATGACATGTCACTCTACAAGTGGAAGAAATTGAAACAGAGAAACGGAGGCAGCGCACAGCAATATCTGACTTTACAAGTGGAAGAAACTGAAACAGAGAAACGGAGGCAGCGCACAGCAAGCCTCACAGCAAGGCTCCGCGGTCAGGGATAGAGGGAACCTCAGACTCAGAAGCCCAGGTGATCAGCCACAGCCCCCTGCACCATCTCCATGACATGTAGAACTGGAAGCACGCCCAATCCTAATGTCTCATCCTTAGAAATACAAACAAATAAATATTGTTGAATGAATAAACAGAACCATCCCTGGGAAGCTCAGCCTGAGTCTTCCAAAGGAGTGTTGGGGGTTGGGTGACACACCCTCAGGACCAGCCAAGCAAGGGCTTGAATCAGATCCAGGGCAGGACAGGTGTCCTGGGTGCCTTCCCTGTCTGGTTAGCAATTTCTGTCCTAATGGATGGCACTGAGTCATCTCAGCTACCTGCCTGAGCTGGGACTCTGTCTACCCTGCCAGTGGTACCTACAACAAGGTACCTGGTGCCTGGCCCTTGGGAAGTGGGCAACTGAGTGAATGAAAGCAAGCTGTGCCTGGGGCCTGCTGCAGGAGGAATCACGGCTGTTATGTAGGGAGCTGCCTTTCTGTGCCAGGGACGTGGTCACAGCCCTGACGCCAGACCCAGAGCCCTCCAGTTTACAGAGGGGCTACTCAGGGCTCTAGCACACATCTATCAGCATGACTCACTCTTCCAGCCCTGGAAAGAGGCAGCCACACCCGCCCCATTGGAACTGACTCAGCAGATATGCAAAAATGCTGCAAAAGAGCTGAAAGATAGTTCCTGTCCAGATTTGTCAGGCTTGGGTCTTTTACAATAAGCCAATATTCATGTCTTACTTGTGCAATTAATAACGATACAGTGAGGGGGCCTGCAGGTGGCATGGTGGTTAAAGGCACTGGACTCCCACATGGTCGACCACAGTTCGAGTCCCGGACCTGGAAGCTTGGCTTTCTCACTTTCCTTCTCTCTGTCTCACTCTAGTCAAATTTTTAAAAATATTAATAATAATAATAATAAAGTTAAATAAGATAATTCTTTTTTTAAAAATAAAGATACAGTGAGGTCCCTTTATGTTTCAATAGGTTTGGCAGAATCGCAGGGCAAATGATCCTTTCTCCTCTCCCCCCCAAAAATAATCTTTAGTTGGGGCACACATTTGCAGGCTCTCCTCACATGGCAGAGAGGCACCTGTGGCCAGGCATTTGTGAGGATTCTTTGAGTCTTCCCGGGTGCCATATGTAAGGGGGTACACGTCATTTTAACAGTCCCACATTTGTGGGGTCCTTGACCAGAATCCCAGAATGAGGAACCCTGAGTCATGGAGAAGGTACTTTCAGAACCAAGGGCACCCAGAACTTGGCAGCTCACGGGAACCCCGGAAAGTTCTTGCTGGACCCCTGCGCCCACGTCCCCACCCACACCTCCACTAGGCCCGCGTTGCCCATCACACACCTTGGATGGTCCTCTTGAAGAAGGCCTTGCAGGCCTCGCAGGAGGCCACACCGTAGTGGTAGCCGGAGGCAATGTCCCCGCACACGAGGCACAGGCGCTTGGGGATGGCGTTGAGCATGTACTCGCACTTGATGGCCGAGTCCTCCATGATGCCGCTGGCACAGTCCTCGTAGCTTTTGCGACACGGGGTGCCTCCCAGCCCGGCGCCTGCGAACATGGGCGGCGAGTCCAGCCCGTTGGCGTGGCTGCCCAAGGCCAGGCCGAAGCCGCCGCTGGCGTCAGACGAACCACTGGGGCTGTGGTGGCTGAGGGCGTCAATGCCCGAAGACGGGCTGGACGGCTCGGTCCTGATGAAGGAGCCGCAGCTGGAGCCCAGGTGCCGGTCCTCTGCGGACATTCTGTTCAGCAGCCTGCGGACACAGAGCGCGGGAAGTCAGCCCCAGCCAGGTGTGGTGGGCGTGGCAGCGCCCGGGGGCGGGGCGCCCGGGAGGGGCTCTGTGCTTAGGCCTGGGTGAGATCCAATGACGTCAAGGTCAATCAACCCCTCTCCTGCATAGCCCTGAGGAAGCTTGGGCCTTACCCCCAGAACCAGAACCTTCCACTGTTCTGATCAGTAAGCTTCAGACAGGCACCCTGGTGCTTTGCAAATTGCCGCCTTGAGGGCGGTGCAGAGGGCACCCAATTCAGCCAAATCTCTGCCCAATCTTCTCACATAACAATAACACGGTGGCCACAACTAAACAACCCGAGAGTGCCGAGCTGTGGCCCAGGACTCTAGGTACAATGACCTGATAACTCCCTTCAGATTCCTCCATTCCTGATGGTGGGCCCACTGGGACACCAGGTAGACCCAGGCTGGGCGTTTTCCTTGGCACCCCACCATCACCGAGATTGGAGCAGGAGGTGCCAAGTCCTCTGGCCAAGAGGGCAGCTTGTGGCAAAGACACCAGCCAAACTGCCCTCAGGGCTTGTCTCTGGTACAAGCTTGGTAACAGAGGCCACTGAGGGAAGTGGCTCTCAGCCTCGCCTTGTTTCCCTTCCCAGCCCCTGTGCAGGCCAGCTTCCAGTCAGCCTGCCTACCTCCCAAGAGACTATGCCTCCAACAGAAAGCACGAAGAAACCTTCCAACTCCAGCCCTGTGCATCCCCCAGTTTAAGTTTCTTCCCTCACAGCCTCCCTGCCTACCCAGGGAGCATTACCGATATGGCATGATCACTGTGCATCACAGCAAAACTTCCAGTAATCGAAAGCCCCTCCTCCAAGCCTGGGGGAGGAGGAGGAGGAAGTAGGTCAAAGGTGTGACCCTCCCCACATCCAACTCCCAGGGTGAGCGGAGGGAGGGGCCGTCTTTCTCTCAGGGAGGACAAGAAAGGCCACTGAGCTCACAGCTGGAAGACCCTGGTGCCTGCTCAGTGGGCCACACTGCAGTCAGGATCCGATCTGAGTCTGGTGGCCTGGATGGGGTTACCTGTCTCTGTCCCGGCCATGTGACTTCACATGTAGTCTCACTCCCTAAACCTCTTAGTGAAAGTAGAGAGGAGGCCACTCCTTGTGCTCGAGGGATGGGTGAGGGGAATGAGAGACATCTCAAGAACAAGGGCTAAAGAGGCCCGTGTACAATCCTGTTAATGGGAGGATGACTCACATGGGAGGGCAGGACCCAGTGCTAGAGGACCCACCAAGGGAGCGACCAGGGTCCTATTCTAATGTGAACTCCCCTTTCCTTTCCTTTTCTTTAATTTTTTTTAGGTTTTTGCCATAGAGTGGGTGTGCTTGCCTGAGAGAGACATTGAGAGAGGGAAAGTGAGAAATCGCCCCCGGGGAAATGGCCATGCCACAATCCCTTCTCCTCCATTCTCCTCTCAGGATTTTGGGCACACACATACATGAGCATGGGGATGCACTCAGCATGATTTTCAAGCCATCAGGTTCGAGACTCAAACAGCAGTCAGCCACCTGGTAATCCAACGCCTTAACTACCATTTCTCCTGCTGGCCCCATAGAACCCTCTCCACTTTTTTTGAGCAGCAAAGGCCTGGTCACCACCTGGGGAGAGGCTGTCTTATCACACCCTCAAAGCCCACCCCCATATAGCAATCTGTGCTCACAACAGCACCACAAAATGGGGTTGCGTAATCTTATGAAGAGGGGCCTCCACTGTCTCTAGTCCAACTAATGACATCACAAGATCCCTAAGGGGCTGTCCCATCCATCTACACTTGAACATGTCCAGAGATGGGGAACCCAAGCCTCATAGACAGTTCTAATCAGAAACTGGATTAGAGCTGTCCAAGGAGACCCTCTCCCAACACAAGGGAGACTCGACTTGTAAGAGAAGTATCTCAGGGACATTCTCTTGATTCTAAGAGCAGAAGAGCCTCTGCATTAACACATCACAGATGCTTCTCTACTTAAGATGGAGTCATGTCCTGCTAAACTGATCACCAATTGGAGGCATCATAAGTCAAAATGCAGACATCTAAGACGACTACGCCCAAGAAGTAGTTACATAAAAGTTTATAATCTCCTGTAATGTACAGATAGTCCCTGCTTTTATGATGGTTCAACCCAATTTTTTTGACTTTATGATGGTGTGAAAGTGATCTGCAATAATAGAAACCATACAACCGTTCTGTCTTTCCCTCTCAGTACGGTAGATAAGCAACATTGCATTAGAAAATCAGCTTTGTATGAGAGGGTTGTGAGCTAATGTCAGTGTCCAGAGCATGTCTAAGGTAGGTTAGGAGAGGCTGTGGTGTTTGATAGGTTAGGTGTATTAAATGCATGTTCTGGGCATGGCTGCCCACCCTCCACCACCAGTCATGTGTCCCCAGGACTGCCATCAGCCTGGTAGGACATCATGCAAAGAGAATCTGACTGCGCTGGCACAGGAGAACCCTGGGTTTCTCCCCAGAGGCCCCTCCAGGTGCAGGGAGAGCAGAGTTTACATATTCATCTCTTTAATTTTATTTTTTAATTGCAAGAGGGCATGTGCACTCGTCAGAAAGATACAGAGAAGCAGAAAGAGAGTGAGAGAAGAAGAAAGCACCTCCCAGTGGGGTGCAGTTACACTGCATTTCCTTCTCCTCCATTTCTTCATCCTGTTGGAATTTGGGGTACACACGTGCATGTGCTTCATCTGTTTTTCCAACCACCAAGGCCAGGACTTGAACCACAGTTGGCCATGTGGGAGCTGGTTCCCTTAACCACTAGACTATGGGGTCAGCCTGATGCTCTTTCGTATTTAATCCTCTCCTGCTCTCTGATGGATGCCTACTTGCTTCCCAAGCACATCCTAGACCCACTATGGAAAACCCTGCTGGGTGAGACATCTCCCAGATCCCAGGCTCTCCATCCCTAACCTCCCCCCAGGTTCCAGAGATTTCAGGAGATAAACTGACAGGAGCAGTAATCATTGCAGCTACTATTTAGTGAGCAGGTATTATGCGCCGTCTGCTTCAGATCTGGCCCTAGATGTGCAAGAAGCATTTGCCCTGAGGGAAGGAGATGCAAAGCCCCACAGCTACTCCCAGCAGAGGGCTGGCCACAATTTCCCCAACTACCTCCTTGAGCCTCATGACTCAGACAACCCTGAGGGACACCCAGGTGGGCAGCCTATTTGTCCCCAAGCCTTGGTTCTCCCTTCTGCCGCTCTCCTTGATTCACAAGGCACAAAGTGTCCCCAAGTGTCTGACTCCACATACAGGCCCTGGTTGGCGTCCCCAAGACGGGGAAGGAAGCAAATTTGATCCTGGTCTCAGAGCTGGCAGGGGAAGCCTGGGTCCCAGCCAAGGGGGGAATCTAATGATTTCATTCCTCTAGCTTTCTCATTTCTGTGGCTATTATTTATTTTCTTTAAAATAATTATTTATTTAATTGGGAGCAGCAGATGGCATAATGGTTACGTCACTGGACTCCCATGTAGTCGGCCGAGGTTCGAGTCCCATAAGGCCAACTATTCAGTTCAAGTCCCAGACCCAGCAGCCTGAAAAACAAGCCAGTGCATGTGCATGTGTGCCCAAAATCTCTAGAGGAGAATGGAGGAGAAGGGACTGTGGCATGGCCATTCCCCTGGTGGGGGGTGATTTCTCACATTCCCTTCTCTCTCTGTCTGGTGAACACACGTGCCCTATGACAAAAGCATCTTAAAAAAAAAAATACAGTGACCATACTTCCATGTTTGCCCAGAGCAATTCTGGTACCACCACTGCCCCAGTATCATGGCCAACCAATATCCCTTCCTCTCCCCGAAGGAGATAATGAATGACATGGTTACTCTATTTTTTTTTTTTTTTTTGCCATAGAGTGTGTGTGCTCTCTGCAGAGAGAGAGATAGAGGAAGCAAAAGTGAACAATCACCCCCTGGGAGGGATGGCCATGCTCAATCCCTTATCTTTTTCTCAGAATTTTGGGTGCGTGCGCACGTACGCACACACAAACACACGCCTGGTGTGAATTTCAAGCCTCTTGGTTTGGGACTCCAGCTGTGATCAGCCATGTGGGAGTCCAGTGCTCTGACCACCACGCCACCTGCTGGTCCTTTTTTTTTTTCCCCCCATTTTTTTGGCTATAGGGTACATGTGTTCACCAGAGGGAAATGGAGAGAAACAGAGAGAGAGGAATCATCCCCCAGGTGGATGACCACACCTCAATCATTTCTTCATTCTCCTCCTGGGATTTTGGGCATGCACACACATATGCCCAGTGTGTTTTTCAGGTCACCAGGTTCAGGACTCAAACCTCGGAGTTGGCCGTGTAGGATCCAGCACTTTAACCACCATGCCACCTGCTGGACATGGCTGCTCCATGTTAAATGCTGACAAGGAAGAGCAAATCTGAGATGGAAAGACCGAAGATACAAAAGCTCAGTGTCAGCCTTTTCCCATCTGTCTTTCAGTCTTAATCAGAGTCAGCTGACCCAGTGCTAGACAGGTGGCTTCCTGCCCTGACCAGCCCAGTCATATTTCACCATCTCTGGCTGGTGAGGCCCAGAAATCTGAGGGGGGAGGTGTTTGGGGGGTTTTTGTGTTTTGGGCATCCAGCTGTGATTCTTATGGGCTCTTTGAGAACCACTGGAACAATAGATGCAGTGAGAAGACCTCAGAGGAGTTTGAAAGGAATCTGAAACTAGGGACAGAAATCAGCTAAGGCAGTAAGGGGGGAGATGAGGGGAGAGAGGGGGTTGGCCATGCAGATGGGCAGTTTCATGAGGCCTCCTTTACCTCCTAGACAGCCCCCACCCTCCCATCCCCACCTCCAGTGTCTCTAGCGAAAGTGAAAGGGCTGGGTGTGAAGGAGGAGGGTCAGAGGGCAGGAGGACTAGGAAAAGAAAGTTCGCAGTGGCAAGGTGGAGAGAACAGAAATCGGAGGCACCAAGGCTCCCTGGGGCCCGGGACTCACGCCAACAGCT